CCGTAGGAGAGTGCGGAGGTGCAGCCGCGGGTGTTCCGGAGGAACTCTGAGTGGCTCCGGAGCGGTTCTGAGGCGGTTCCGGGGACCCCGAGGAGCTTCGGAGGGGGGCCAGGGAGAACGCTCCCGGAGCGTTCCAGGATCAGCGGCGACCGCCGGCCAAACAGGACGCGGAAATACCGCTAGCCAGAAGTGACGTCCCTTCAGGCGCCCCGTCGCACTCTCTTCGCCACCAATCCGGCTCCGTCGACCCCGTCGGTACCAGCCCTACATTCCTTTTCTTCAATCCCCAGCACCGGCCGCCCTTGAGCAGCGCCCGCTAACGGATTTCCACCAATCCGCGCTGTCCCCAGATGACGGAAGCCCTCCCCCTCCTCCACAGACCACCTCGGAACCCTCCATTTCCCCCCAGTTTCCCCCATTTTTTCCAATTCCCTCCATTTCCCCAAAAACTCCGCTTTACCCTTAGGCTACACCCACACCGAGCCAACAACCAATAGGGGTGCAGCACCGGCAACTCAACCGGCGGGGCCGCGCGGTAGAGGCCACGCCGCTTACTCCACAAACGGGACTCAAAATGACCCCAAAATTGGCATTTTTAAAATTCATTTTTATTTCTCCTGCGCCCAGCCACCTCCAGGGATCTCCCGGAGCTCCTGTCCAGGAGCCTTGGATCCCTTCAAAGGTCTCTGTTTGTCCTTTATGGTCGTGGATTGCTGTCCCACTGGGAGCGCCCGCGCCTCGCCGGCCGCAGAGCAGAGCCCTACATAAAGGAACTGGCTACCGAATTTCGGGGTGGCTACCGCACTCTGGGGCGTGGCTACTGAATTTTTGGGGTGCTTGGCTACCGAATTCGGGCGAGGGCGGCTACTGAATTTGGGGAATAACTACAGAATTCGGAGGTTTTGTCTTGGTTTAGAAGGAAAAGGGGTGGAATAAGGAAGGGGCAAAGGGGAAGGGGTAGAGCTGGGGTGCTCCCAGTAACACCAAGCACCCTTCCCAGTAGCCCAAACACCGCCCTTCCCAGGAACCAAATTTTTCTCCCAGTAGCCAATCCCCCTTCCAGTCCCCCCCAGTTACCTTTCCCAGTTTATTCCAATCCCTCCCAGTAACCACCCCCCCACCACTGCCCCCAAGTCCCTCCTCGTGCTCCCCGTATCTCCTCCCAGCTTATTCCAGTCCCCACAGATCCCCCTCTCTGCATCTCCTGGTTTATCCCAAGGCCCTCAGTCCCCTCCCAGTGCCCCCAGTACCTGCTCCACACTTGTCCCAGCCCGGGGGGGCACTAAGGGGGGAAAGGGCATTAGGGGGATTTTGGGTCACCCCGTAGATCGGGATCAGCACTGAGGGGCTTCTCTGGGAGGGCTTGGTGTCCTGCAGGGGGTTCGGGGAGCTCTGGGCTCCTTCCGTGGGGGTTTGGGGTCTTTATGGGAAGAGATCAAGGGTTTGGGGTCACACCATGGGGGTTTGAGGTACTATTGGGGGTTTTGTTTTGGGGTCACCATGGGGGGAGATCAGGGCTTTTGGGGTCTCTATGGGGGGAAATCAGGGACTTGGGGACTTGGGTGTTTGAGGTCCTATATGAGCTTCTGGGGTCCCTCCCTGGAGATGAGGAAAGGGGGCGGGGCTTGGAGGTAAAGAGCAGGGCATGGGGCATTGTTTTGGGGTAAATCCCTTAGGATTTGG